ATTGGATACGTTGTTTTGATTCGTTTCCTTTTTTCTTTCTTTTTCTATCGATTTGACTATCATATATATATATATATATATGTGTGTGTGTGTGTGTGTGTTCTATTGACAAGATTGTAACACTCATCTATTTTTTGTTCTATTTTTCTGTTTTTTTAATTTTTTTTTTATATTTTCTTTTTTCAAATAAAAGAGATTAATACATGTATGGGTATTTGTTGAAAAGTAAAGTACGCGGTAGCATTTTAACAAGGTCATTTAAAAAACAAAAAAAGTATCTACGAAAATAATTGCGTATTAAGATTTTTTTTTTTTTTAAATAACAACACTAGTATCTTACATCTTCTTTATGTTTTTTTTTTTTTTTTTTATTCCTAACGATTGGTAATAAAATCAACGTTTGTTTACGTGCTTTTTTTTTTTTCTTTTGCATTCTTCTTTTATCATTGTGTATTATTTCTGTATGTTTGGTGGTATTTTTCGATATTTTTCGGTATTTTCTTTTTACGTTATATTAAATATATTCTTATCATCACACACACTGTTGTACAATGTGTTTATTAATTGTGAATGTCGATGAGAGTTATATTATTAGTTATAATAATATTTTTATTATTATATAAATTATTAATATACTATTTTATATATATATTTATATAAAATATTAGTGTATAATTATTAATATTATATAAAAATTATTAGAATATTATTTTATATAATTACAATTAAATAAAATTACCATACGAGAAAAATAAAATAAAGCTAAAAGAAAATAAAAAAAAAAAAATACCAATCACATTTCGTAGAAATGAAAAAAGAATATTTTAAGAATAGAATGTTTCACCATAATAATCATAATAATCATAATAATAATAATAATTCGTTAGATTCGTTTAGATTAATAAGACATTTCCGAACGTCATTGATCTTATTTACTCTAAAATGACGTAACACACACACACATATATATAACTAAAAGACGTTTGTGTGTTACGAAGGTGATAAATCAATACTTTATACGATCGATGAAATTTGCTTTTCTATTTGGCGAGAAGAAACTTGTGACGTCATACAAATATCATATATACACACACACACACGTATACACACATACGTATATATGTACCACATACTCACGAGTATGCATACCTAGAATTACATGTATTCCCTCCTCTTCCCCCTTCACCTTTTCCTCTTTCCCTCCACCCCCGTTGGTTTCGTTTAGTTTCGTTTAGTTTCGTTTCGTTTCATTTCGTTTCGTTTCGTTTCGTTTCGTTTCGTTTAGTTTCTAATTTTGGCAGGAACAAACATTGCATAGGTTTTATTATATTCCTAAGTATATAATCACATTCATAGACATGTTTTTTTTTTTTTTTTTTCACTTTTACACCCATTTATAAACTACACGTTTTACCTACAAGGTGTCCCTGTTAGTTTCTTTTTTTTTCTCCTTTTTTTTCTTTCTTTCGTTTCATTTTTACCTTCTTTTAATTTAAGAAGAATTAAATGTGTATGTGTAATGTGTAATGTGTAATGTGTATGTGTTTTGTTTTCTCTTTGTAAGAACAGTCGAATTTTTCTTTTTTTTTTTAACACTTGTAGAAAGTGTCCTTGACAAATGAGACACATGATACACATGAGACAAATGAGAGGTAATTTAATAAAAAATAAAATTAAGTAAAGGTAAAATAAAATGTATTTAAATGTGTACTCGTACTATGGTCTCCCATAATCTCTCATAA